CCGCGGTCGATCTCCGTCCGAATCATCCACAACATTATATGAGAATTATAGCTGCCGGCGTCGAGAGAGAAAAGATTTACTCGGTCTAACGATCGGAATCGACCTATAGAACCGCCTTTTATTCAGCGATTTCGGTGTTTGGCTGGCAGCGCTGCCAATTTTTGCCAGTGCCTTCCAATGCATGCTTCGAAAGATGCGGACGCTCTTTTCTTTTCGGTGTGACGCGTATATTTTATCGGGAATAAAATGGATCGCGGCCAAGTGCGCGGCGCGCATGCAGGCGCTACCGAGAAAAGCTACGGCGGGTGCCGCGCGTTTCGTCTTTACGACGGTATCGACATCCGTGATTTAAATTATTATTGCATTGTATACAAGCATTAACGAAATTACTCTGTGAATATAGCTTAACGTAATTTACTTTCGAAATGCAAAACAACAAAAATAAATACGCCGCGCGCATTTTACATCGCGCTCGTTGTAAGATATGCAAATGCGAAAATGGTAAGACGGGTATTTCACCGCCTCGATATTTTCAAAGAATATAAATGCAATTACGTTACACGACGCAATGGGACGATGCGATGGCAAATTTTAATTTTCCAGGAAGCGGAGGCTACACACCTGGAAACGGAGTACAATGGTGCATTGTCCGCGCACGAGCGTCGGCTTTAATCACGGATGTGCCCGCCTTTGTCAATTTCCATAGTTCGATTCTGAGCTATCTAACGGCGCACTCGCCCACGGTCTCGGTCGTAAATGTCGTCGATGCATCTAGAACGCATCTCGTCGCATCCGGCCTATATCGCCGTAACGCGTGCGCCCAAGGAAATGCGAACCATTAAATACTATGTAACGCGGATCTTACGTAACGCTAATGTAGTAGCGATCGCTGTCACGCGACTCCTCCTTAAAGTGATTTACTCGCGGCATGCTATACAATAAATTCACATTGCTTTCGATCTGCAAGCTTGACTGTAACACGCAAGAAATTGTTTTGCTTCAAATACATGTAAAATTTGAAGAATTTTGTATCACACTTATGCATAATTTTTTAAACAGAGTTTATTTTATATTATAACTAAATTTAAACGATGAATTAAGTTCCAGAAAAAAAATTAATATCAAAATATATAAGATTTGAAAAATGTTATATATGTCACGTAGTTAAGTGTAATTTTATACTATAATTTATTTTACAACTAGTTTTAAGTATGGTTAAATTCCAGAAAGAAAATCTTATACTCATATATCTATGATGTGAAAAGTTTTATATCACAAGTTATTTTATGACTAATTTTAAGTGATAAATAGTTAAGTTTTAAAACGGAATGTTCTAAATATAAATAAATATTATTTATATTTAAAAAAAACGAAAGAGATGATCGAATTAAACAAGTTGCGAAATAAGTTGTTCAAGTGTCAACTTAATGAAGAGAGTTGTGAGGCAACTTGTTTACGTGCCCACGAATTGGTCATGCGCACGCAGTGGCCTGGAAAAAGAAATTCGAGGGAACGTCCAACGACACCGCCGAAACTTCGCTTCGAAACATCGACTCACGATAATAACGGTATACATATATATCCCACGTGCACGCCTTTAACCGCCCTGCACGATAAAACCGGACGGGGAACAACGGCGGCGATAAGAAGCAGTCGCGTGTGTTAACCGAAGCTACTTTAGGTGCGAGCCGATAAGAACAGAACCGATACTAGTGGTCCCCATCCACGTATATAATGAGAATGATAAACCTTTTTAATATAAAGAATTATGCAGATAATACGACTAGAAAATTAAAAAAATTTTTTTCTAAAGTTAGTATAGAGAAAATTTAAAAATATTTTCATTTAAAAATAAAAATATAAAATAAATTTTTTAATTTATCTTAAATAGAAAATTTAACATTCTCTGTAAAATGCGCAATTTCCGCAATAACGCGGCATATACAAAACGTTTCACCACATTTACTAAAATATCACAATACACATATATGGCAAACTTCGAGGAAGTTTCGAAACAGCCATTTCGACAACAACGTGAATAACAAGTCTGAGAATTCAAGAGAGGTTCTTAATTTGTTATCAAGTTTAAGAATTCACAGTACACGAATATGTACTTATACAGTATTTGTAATTCCCGCAGGTTTCCCGAAAAGTTCGAGGGGAATATTTGAGTACTTATGCCCGACGAATCCATTCGAGACAGACACGTTGTTGTAGAAATGACGAGAACTCGCCATTACGAGAACGAAGCTTTACGATCGCGCGCGTAAGAGGCGTCGAAGGAGCGGCGGCGGTAGTGGAATCCCACCCTACGCACTAATATATAACATCTCGATCGATATCGGGTCGCAGGTGGCTTTGTTCACGATTCTTTCTTTCATCCTGATGGACAGGCCCGAATTGATCTCCTCTCTTGTGAAATCGCGGAAAAGATAAGATACCGATGACAAGGAACCTAAAGAGCTTCTTCAATAGATCGGAGATTGAAATGTCTCGAAGTAGTCGTTGATCGAGAGACTGAAATTAATCCGCACTTCGAACGACAACAATCGCGGATAGACATCCTTTTTCGAAGAATTTCATGCGGAAAGAGATTTGATCGATCGACTGTGATAAAAATAACATTTATAATTTAGCAAAAAAATTATTAATAAACAATAAAATTTTATGCTATTAAGAAGCGTAATCAATACACATAAATTTTTATCAAAATTTTTCTAACCATATTTTACGTGTTTCTTACTGTTTGCGATAATAATTTATTACAGCTTCTATGATTTTCCAATTAAGTATTTGCAGACATAATATTTGGTTACTACGGTTGATTTGCGTAATTTTTTCCATAAATTTCATGCTTCTGCGTGTGAACTGGAAGTTTATGACACAATTAGCGTTTATGACACAATTAATACATTGTAATTTTGCGCTGGAGAAAGCCAAAGTAAAGCTGATTAAAATTTGATGTCTATTTAAAATATACTGCATAAAATATAATATATAATATACATTAATTACCACATTTTGGCTTTCAATAACCTTTTCTTTTTAACTTATTAATTGCATATCAAATAATCTACTTCAGTCTTATTTCTAGAAATTTGGTGAGTCATCGAAAGAAAAAAAATATAAGAGTTTCTTTACACCGCGGGAAAGAAAAGGAGTCAGCCGAGTCATATCGCAAGCGCATTCTGTTGAAAGTATTGAAAGCTATGGTGAGAACAGAAGTCACGTTCCATGCAATTATCACACTCGTCGAGAGTCTTTCGAACCTCCCGTGTGTAACGTAATAGCAGACTATCGGCGCAATCCGATCGCGGTATATTAATTACTCACTGGCGCACTTTTTTCTCTTCTTTTGTATGCGTGTCGATTCAGCAAAAATAGACGAGCGCGATAAAGCGCAAGTGCAACTAAATACGATTGCAGCATGCAATGTGCCGGTTGCGTCACGCGCGACGATAACCGTTCGCCGAAGAGCTGCGAGGTGAATTATTTCGAGTGATCTCCTATTGCGCATCCGTCTTCTGCGTGGCTGAAGTGTTTCGACGACGGTGAAAGATTAATAAAAGTAATTAGTCGAGTGAAGAAAAAAAAATATCAGCGAATATAATATAAAACGAGTAGTATATCCTAACAAATGATGGGAAGTTTCCCATGATCTATGAAAGGGTTGATATTATCTTCTTATTGTGCGGCGACTCGCATGCATTCGAAATAGGAAATAACGCGACTGAGATTTATTAAGACGTTATACCAATCGCGTTAATAAATCAGATGCAGCACTAATGCGTCAAAAGACTCGCAATTAATTAAACGACTTTTTCTAAATCAACTGCGAAAGATACAAACATGTGTGTGACGCGCTATCGCACAAGTCGAGTAAGTATTTGTAAAACAAGAATGTGCGCGGATTCTTATCAAAATCGATATGGGAACGATAGCAAAAAAAACTCATCAGTGTTATTGTTGTCATGCGAAGCCGACGTAGCGCGGTCAAAAGCAGATTACGAATTCTTCGAAGCGCATAGCATCGCGATAGTGAGGCGATAATAATGAGCCAATCGCCACCTCTTTCTTTGCAAAACTACGTCAAAATGATGGAATTATTAAATGACATTTATCGCGACGTCTCAAGGACGCGAGACAATTAAGCGCGTATTATCACGACGCGTGGGATAAAACGTAAGAATTTTTACCGGCTTTGCGCGTAAGTTCCACGTGAACTATACAAAACGATCATTTTTTACGCGCTGTTAATTATCAGAACATTGACAGTTAAACTTACACGATTAAAACCTAGAATAATGTCGGATAAGATCTTAAATAGATGCGATAGGCATCTTTCGTAACTAACATAAGTTGTTTTTATAAAGCATAAAGTAGCATATAGCTGATCTACAATGTCCGATTAGAAATTAAAATTATGTATATATAAAAACGGTATCCAGCGATATATAATTACGGACATTATATGTGCGTCGCCATATATTTTAATTAGAATCCATTGTTCGGTGCAAACTTTGTTTCAATGTAGATTGTTAAAATTATTATCAGATATTGATTTTACTTCGGTTGCTCAAGTCTGACTCCGCATTTTCATTTTGATGACGCGAGTAAAACTGACAAGATTCTAAATATATTCCGTTCTGTGCGAATTATTTAACCTGCTTCGCGAAATGAAATTCACTGAACCCACTCCTACGTAAGCTAAATTCTTGCCGAACACTAAACATCCTGGTCGAGCCTGTTACGAAAAAAAAAAAAAAGAAAAGGATATCGCTTCGCGTTGGTGAGCGAAGGACGCGGAGCGCCGGGAAGAGAGCGAAGCGGGAGTTGATAGCGTGCCAGCTGTGCGCAGGAACGGAGGTTAGGTTAGGAATGGCGTTTGGGGGTCGCGGGGTCAACCCGCGGGATCGAACGACCTGACGCGCGAACGCGATGCAACGGGCGCACGACGCGTGTGCCATGCAGCAGACAGGTAAAACAGACAAGGCACTCACCTCGTTGAAGGCCATCTTCTTCGCTATGCTTCCGGACTCGCGGCTGCTTCCGGCGCCTCCTTGCCCCACCGCTTCAACAGAAGAGTATCCTCGCGAAGAACTGCCGGGCTAGTAGTCCCAGCAGCAGTAGCAGCAGCAGTAGCAGCTGATTTCGCCAGGTGTCCAAAAGGGATGATCCTCCAGGGGAGAGCGACAGCGCATCGGGATCGTCGACGGCACTCGCGACGCGACGTCGACGACGGTGACGGGAACGTGGACGGCGACGTGGACGACGACGTACACGACAACGACGACGAAAACACTCGCGGCGACCGACCCGTCTGGCAGAGCTTCGCGACACACATACGTCACGGGAGAATAGCGACCGCGATCACCTTCTCGCGAGGAAATCCCCACGAGAGCAAAACTCCGCCGTGTCGCCGTCGGCGGCGCGAGGTCGTTTCTTTTTTCTTTTTCACGGCTCCTCCTCACTCGTTATACGCGGCACGCTGCGCTGCCGATCTGCCGACCGCGGCCGATCTGGCATTCCTCAGGTGGGCACCGTTCGCGGAAGCGTCTGCCTGAACTGCGACAAAAACACGAAAAAAACTGCCGACAGGGGCTTTCGCGCCGCTCAGCTTTGCTGTACAAGGATCGCGACGACGGGCACGGGACGACGGACGCGTTCACCGACACGTTAATCGCGGCGCGTGGCGACGTTGACGAACGTCGCGGACGGGATGGTGCGTATCACACTCGATCGTCACCGACCGCTCGATCGTCCGTAACCGTTTCTCGACACTGTTTTCTCTTTTTTTCTTTTCTCGCGTATTTATATCCGCCGCAGAGATATCATCCGCAAACATACGGGCGCCATCTTGGTTTCTGGCGGTCGCCAGCGGAACGGACTGAAGTGTGACCGAATGCCGCAATGGCGCGACGTACGCGGTAACCAGCTGTGTGGTGCTGTGAAACGCCGGGTTGGCGATGCTACCGCGCGCGTTCTGAAACCGGCGAAACGTGCCGGAAACGGACCGGTTAAACACACGTTCGAATTGGCGCGCGCAATTCTCGAAGTGGCGCGATGATGCGAGTACTGGATTACCGACGCGATAGAAACTTCACGTTGCTTTGAATATTCTAACCTTGACTTATGCGTATGCGATTGAAATTAATAATTTCCAATCAATGTATTCATTTATTTTAAAGTATGATTCCGCCTGCAAATAGAGAATAGAATTTTTTTTTAATTATACTACTTGATATTGTAACGATTGATTCTTGACGTCTTGCGCTTTGTAAAGAATTTTAATATGTTAACTGATTGAATTTTTGTAACTACTTATTTCTTATTATATTATCTTGTACAATTTAATATTGGAACTTTGCATAGACAATCGCTACTTTGATTTCGAAATCGTTAATGAAATGTTATGCTTTGAGGTTACTGCGTTTGATTCTCGGTGTTTTGCGCTTCGCAAAAGAGTTTATGCTAATTGATTGCTTTTTCGTAGTGTTTTATACTTACTATATTATTTATTTTATCTCGTGGAACTCAACGTACAAACTTTAAGTAAACGTAGAAAAAAAAGTAAAAAAATCACGAACGAAAGCGGTGAGCTGCACGTCGCGAAGATAGGCCTTGCCGTATTAGGGCATATTCAAACAAAGGCGCATAAGCATATGCATAAGAAATTGGATTGGTCCATGGCTTTATGCACGCATATGCTTATGCGCTATGCAAGTTTGTCTGGATACACCCTTATGGCTGTACTATTAAAATATCGATATTTTAATTCAAAACCATTAATACAAAATATCATGCGTTGACACGATTGATTCTTTGTATCTTACATTCTGGAGATAATTTTAATATGTTGACTGACTTTTCTCTTCTAGTACCCTAATAAATATTATCGAAATACCGATGCTCTCCGATTTTAAAATACACAGATACTTGAATTTTTGGCTTTGTAAAATGCTTTATATTGCTTGTGTCCTTTTTTATAATTTATCTTTAAAAACTTTTCTCTACAGTATTACCAATGATATTTGTGTCGTACAATATTGATAGGTTATACGACATTTAATGATTCTTATGTGTAAATTAGATAATGTGGTATTCATGATAATAAATGCAAAATTTTCTTAAAGAATTATCTATACAATAGTTTTCTTCCCAAAAATCTTTTCTTGATCAGATTGTAATAGAAATAAAAAAGAAATATATCACACTACGGGCGGTATTCATAGTCCGTTCCAGTGATGCGATATTTCCCACAGCGGTCCCGGCTCCGCTGCCTCACACAACCTTACAGAAGCGCTACGTCACGTATCCGTGTGAGCTCGGCCGTTCAACCAATGGAAGAGAGCGAACGCTCCCTTCCACCGAGCCGACACAACAGACGATAAATGCATGCTACTTGCATGTTAAAAGCAAGCGTTTCTGATTCAGAAAAGAAATTCTGAGGCGAGTGGCTGGAATATTAGAGATCACCTGTTCGAAACCTGCTTCGTGCAACTTTTTTTTCTTTTTTCCACATTTGTTTCTAACATAGTAAATTATTAGATAATATTTTTTGCCCAAAAAAATAATATTTTCTAT